GCATAAAAGTATATACTCCTTTACTTGGAATATTGGATTTATGGTACAGTCCTTTCATTAGTAGAAATCTTTCACTAATATATTTCTATACAGATTTAAAATTTATTGCATCCTTTTACCTATATATTTGGTAAAGCAGTTATGGTCACTAATATGGCAATTTTTTTCAAATATTGGCATGCACTTCAGGATCATAAAATGGTATAAACCTTTTTGCATCAGATTCAGTTTTCTTACCTTGTGCTTTCCACCATCAAATACTTTACACATCTAACTCTGATCTTATTTTGCATAAAGATCACCTTTATTTTCCCCTGGTCTTTAGTACTACTATTTCTAGTCAAATCTCAAAAAACAGGATGATCAAGGGCTAGCTGACCTTGTAAACTACAGGATCATCTCTGCAGAGCTCCTTCACCATACCACCCCCTTACCATACCTCCCTCTTTGATCTTCCTTCTCTGTGACCTGTTCAACTTCCCACTGGTGATAATCCATTTTCCATTCCCCTCATTCTTTATCAGTGAAAACCAGACTTAGTTCCTCTTAACCAAGTATTGAAGATCCTCAGTACTAGACTGTATGTAGTCTCTGAATTGTTTTCAGTAACTGTAGTTGTTTGGGTTTCTTCAGTTAGCCCCATAAAGACATTGCTGCCTGCCCAGGCAGCTAGTGCCTGAAAATGGGGGTAGAAATCATCCTATAAGATACATAGTATAAAATTATTTTCTCTAGTGTGTCATCATTTGGGGCAATTCAGAAATTTTCTAGTCCAGAACTGCCACATAATCAAGTAACTTATGCATTATTTAGGTTACAAAAGTAATTAAACAATTACATTTAGAAGGTGCTAACTACTTTTATACTAATTTTATGTGCGTATCTTAGGAAATACTACATTAAAATACATAATTAGAAAGAGATCTCCTTACGATCATCAGCCGTATTTATTCACTGCATATTCTAGTTGATTGCCATGTCAAAAAAAACAAAAAACAAACAAACAAAAAAACCCCACCAAAACCCAAAAGCATTGCCAAGTGGATTAACTACCTAAATAGGTATTCTTGGAGGGGAGACCTCAATTGCTGCTGCAGAAGTTGATTTCATTTACTGAGAAATGACTGCAACACTCATGGCCAACATTTTTAATCAGTCACAGTGTTCTTTTCTGAGGAGCACATGGTAGCCTCAGAATCCTTTTTCACACAGTGCTTCCAAGGCACTACCAATCCATTAACACTGGCCTGAGAAATAAACCAGTTTCTCTGCCTTTCCCTGAGTAGGCGCTGGTTGTTTTTAGGGACCCAGTGCCTGCAAGGCATAGTGGTTACCACTAGATGGCACTAGTGCTTTGTCAAGAGAGTCCTTAAGGCCCAGGTGTCTCTCTAATCTGTTCCATTTGAGGCTTTTTACACACCTAAATACCCCAGGTTGTTTTTAACCACTCACAGCAGCTGTTGACTTACTTTCTCAGTCCAGCATCCAACTGGTGAAAACTTATCCCTGTACCCATGGACTTGATGTTCAAAAACTAGAAATCTAAGGAAGAAAATATAAGGTCATATTCTTGTCTTGCCTTGTTTCCAGAGGCCATTTTGGTCCTTTGATGTCTGCAATACCGTGTTTCCCTTTTAGTGTTGCTTCCAGGAAGATGCTTTTCCTAATTCTCTTTTTTCTCTTAGTCAATTTTTCTGAGTCTTAGTTTCCTCATTGATAAAGAGGGGTTAAAAATACACATCCTAGGAGAGTTGTTGTAAAGGCTAAAAGTGATTTACTTAAAATATTGTATTTTTAAATATATATGGATTTTTTATTTTTTATTTATTTTTTAAGATTTTATTTATTTGACAGAGAGAGACATAGTGAGAGAGGGAATACAAGCAGGGGGAGTGGGAGAGGGAGAAGCAGGCTTCCCGCTGAGCAGGGAGCCCGATGTGGGGCTCCATCCCAGGATCATGACCTGAGGTGAAGGCAGATGCTTAAGCGACTGAGTCACCCAGGCACCCGTGGATTTTTTTTAGCATTTTAATGGCACCATTGCCAGATTTTGGCTGTTACGGGCACACTATATACTTTTTTTTAAATATAAGACAAAGTGTAGGAACTACCTTTTCTTTATTTTTGTTAAGCTGAAGAATTCCACCACTGACTCGTCAATAACTTAGTATTCTTTGCCCATGTCCTGATCTGAGTTCAGGCGTAGGTGCCCATTTGTATTTATGATTGTAAAAAACTTATTTGGGTTCAGCTCCCCTCAAAGGGCTAAACTGTTCAACACTTTGTCCTCTGTGGAGACTGTTGAAGCTCTGTGGCATTTGAGTGCGTGTGGTGCTGCTATTATTTTCTACACTCAGTTTTTATTTTTAGGTATAAAACTGGTTCTCCCTTCTCTGTACTGCCAGAGTGCTTTGCCTTCACCAGATTATTATTGGTTTACAGATCCATCTACCTCTTTAACTTCATGCTTTCTCTAATCTTTCTATGTGCTAAGCACATGGTAGGCACGGTCACTCGTGTTTACTCCGTATCACTGTTCATTAATGAAACACGAGGCCATACAAGAGCAAGACAATGAATTATCTGTGGCCTTCGTGTTCCTCTGTTGTTAGGGCTCTTCATCAGTTTGAGGTGTTAAGCCTTAATTGGAACTCTAAGTACCCTGAATAAATTGAGATGATTGTGAATTCCAAAGATAATGTTTCCATTTCACATGCCCCAGTCTCCTGTTCTCTCTACCGACACTGTAATCAAGGCCCAGGGTCTTATTTAAGCTAACAAATAATTATCCTTCATTTCATAAGTAGTATGTAACTTGACCTTAAAAGGCTGCGTAACTTGACAAGATGGCAATGAATCTAGCCACCAGCTGTGTCTACCTTCACTCTGTCCTAGTCCCTGTGAATAGGAGCTGATTTTGGAAGAGACTCTGGGGAGTCCTTGCCTCACACTTCCCTCTCTTATCTGGAATGTATCGGTGATTTCAGGCCATGGAACTGCATGGTCTTGCACAAATTTTGATTCCTTTTGGGTTCTGAATCCGTTTAAAATCTGCAGTTTTTGCTTGCAGACCACAAGCTATTTAGACATACTTAACATTTTCTGAGATGTACTCATTGCTTATCTCATCTTTGAGTACTGCTAAAACTGGATAAAAACAAAACCTGAATATGAGATGTGGATAATATATGTGAGATTGTTGGGAAATGGATAATGTATTTAAAATATTATGGGTAATACAAATGGACTAATGTGATTTAAAAAAAAGAACATTTCTTTGAGCTTGGAGGGGCTAAGAATTACTTAAGCATGAAAACAGTGGAGAGAGCATCAGGAGAAAATGTTAGATTTAAATTAATACACAAATTAAAAAGCTTTACTGTGTTGGAAACCAAGGTATTGGGTTAAAAAGTGTATGTGTGTGGCAGACAAAGGTGTGATGTTTTTACTGTAAAAACTCCTCCTTTGGACCAATAATAAGCACACTAAAATAAAAGCAATATTATAATTATTAACAATAATGCTAATTTTAAAAAAGAAATAAAATGACTCAAAAGCATGAAAATTTTTCACTTTCACTAAGGATACAAATGCAAATTAAAATAAAAATGAAACATTACTTTCTGTTATGAATGGAGTGTTGGGAGTAAAATTTTCATGGAGCAGTGGTAAGAATGTATTTCTTCGGTATGGAGCCAGAGTGCTTGTCTCATTTGGCATACTTAGCTACTAGCCCCTCCTGGCAGAAGGCTTGGGGATCAGTGCTACAGGGCTGAGCTGGAAGTTCTCCTGCGTGTGGCAGTCAGGAATGTGCCATTGCCTGCATCACTCTTCTGGAAAACTCTGTGGAGAAGATACTCCACAGTCAGGTGTTTTAGCTGTAGGCGTGCAGTTGGTTGCATTACTGGCTCTAAGATAACATAGTGAGCAGGCTGTCCTTTCTCAAAATGAATCAGGTCTGGCCAGTGACAACTGCATGTGTATATCGGAGGACGGTTGAGGGTTTTAAAGGCTTTCTTTTGAGGAAGTCTCTCTGAAGAGATTGCCAGGATTTCAGCCCTGATGATAAGTTTTAAATGATAAGTTTACTGTGGTATTATGAAATCTGAGAGAAATTTCAAAAAGCTGTGCTCAGTAGCCTCAACTGTTGACAAATGATTCTTGATGTGTAGTTTGGTACAAGATGCAGGGAATATAGGTCTACTTCCTTTATTCAAACTCAGTAAATGGTTTGGGACAATTAATTTCCAATTGTTTCCCAGTAGAGCAGATTTACTTGTATATTAATGAGGCACAGGTGTTAGGCCCCTGGTGTCTGCGTGCCTGGGAGGCATATTTCAGTTGTTTATCTGCTCAGCCATAGGTACTGCAAGGTACTCAAGCTTGCCTTTAACAGTTTTTACAGTGAGGCTTTTTAATTTTTTGATGTTTTTTTCAAATTTGCCTGCACCTGTTAAAATTTTAAAACTGATCATGTAGAAAGAAGTTGCAGAGATTTCAATAGTAAATAGCACTAAAAGTTAAAGTAGTCTTCTATTATATTTAACTCCCCAGCCTGACACTAAAGAGAAATGGGTTCATTTAAACAGGTATTTCATGTGAGAAGCCAATATAATCAACGGTACCCTTTTTGTTGTGTATTTTTGGAGCAGGTATATCTTTGTCAATGGCTAAAGCAGTCATGTATTTATATTAATATTCATTTTTTTTCTTGTTTCACTGAACTGCACTACCAACATTTTAGAGGAAATGGAATGGCCTCCATAGACATTATGAATTTCAGTAGCTGGCATAATTACAGCGATCTACATATTCATTAAATCTACAGAAGAACTGTGTCCAAAAAGACAGCCATGCGTTCAGAAACAGTACACAACTAAATATATATGTTTTAAAAGTTGCATTTCTTAGACTTATTTAAAATTAATTCCTCTTAGCACTCCTCTCCAAGCAGAGAATTTTAACAAAAGGATCCCTATGCTTTGGTTTCTTGCATATAGGAAAGAATGGGAAGAACTATTTGTAAACAACAATTACTTGGCAACAATAAGGCAGAAGGGGATTAATGGGCAGCTGAGAAGCAGCAGGTTCCGCAGCATTTGCTGGAAGGTAAGAAGAAAATATTTATTTACAGTTTGTGGTTGCAGTATATCAACACATTACCTGATGCCCTGGGAGATTACCCATGCAGGGGATCACTGAATTTTCTAGGAGACTTCACTCTCGATTTTTTGGCCATCCAAGTTTATCTTTCATAGGACATTTACTAATAAGGTTGAACCACCTTAGTCCCGAGTAACTGGTGATGGTAAAGGAGTCATTTGAAATAGCTGTTCTTTCATCTCATTTGATGGAGCAGAATTCAACACCTTTACATCCCCCAGAGGCTTCTGCAGAAATCCTTGAAGCCAGGCAGGGGCAGAGTGGGATTTACTTCCAGCTTCCCATTGTATCAAGTTCAGCCATTTAGTTACCCCCCTTTTTGATTGAGAAATAGCAGATGGAAAAGTTTTTTCAATTTTTTTTTTGTTTTTACTGGAAACATAAAGTGAAGGGCAGCAGGAAAGAGAAGTGGAAGAAAATTAGGTCAGTCTCCTAAGAGAAAGGGCCATTGATTACCAAAACTAGTGATAATCTGCAGTTATCTTTTTTTAATTGCCTGCAAATATTGTCCCTTTTTGTTCTCTCAAAATGAATTAATTGAGGTTTAGACTTATTTCTGAAATGACTCCTATTGAAAGTTTTTTAGGTTTTATCTGCCTAAACTGAGCATACAGAGTCTGTGAAAGTAAAGACAGTAAGAAATACATGATGCATTAGACAGTTTTAGATTTACTAATTTAGATTTAATAATTAAAATACATTTTTCTTCTGTTAGATGCAGGCAGTAAAGGCAGGGGACCTGCTGCTAGAATATTTGTTTACAAATATTTGTGCCCCACCCCCCATTCCTTGTTGTTTAACTTTTAGTATCCTTCGTTTGTTAAAAATAAACTCAAATCCAGATTTATTTTAATGTTGTATTAAACTAAATGAAATCAAATTTGTCTTTTTAAGAATGCTTGTTTTTTTCATAAGCCAGCTGCCAGTTGTAAATTACATTTCTGTCTTAAAAGGAATGACTTCACTTCTCAAGCCGTGCCCTCAGGTTGTTCTTTTCCGTCCTTTACCTGCCAGTTTTAAGACAAATCGTAAACCTTGAAATTAATCATTGGACTTTGTGTCTGTCAATACGCCATTAATATAAGACTGTAAAATGGGAATTATACTTGAGCCTCAGTGCATTCTTGTTCATTTTTAATATAAATCTGGAGGGGAACTTGATTCAGTTTTGTGGTGTAGCTTTTGGGATCTTGTTCTTTTGGCCTCCGTTCACTTTTTGAATTGTCCAAATATATATAAACATTCCCAAAGATCATTTATTGGGAACTGGAATGCTATGAATATGAATACCCCTGGCAATATTCAATACGAATATCTCTTTCAGGTGATTCTGTTTGGCAAATAGTTTTATATGTTGCTTGTTAGGATTTTTACAAAAGTTTCCTTTTTTTGTTTTCCTTGACAGCTATTTCTTTGTGTCCTTCCTCAAGATAAAAGTCAGTGGATAAATAGAATTAAAGAATTAAGAGCATGGTATAGCAACGTTAAAGAAATAGTAAGTTGTACTTTAATTAATGTAATTGTTTTCTTATGTACACTTTCAAGTCCAGTAACCTCTGATCTTTGTGTGTGTGTTTTCTTTCTTTCCTTGCCAGCACATCACAAACCCGAGGAAGGTTGTTGGCCAGCAAGATTTGATGATCAATAATCCCCTTTCACAGGATGAAGGGGTAAAGTTCATCTTTATTCATATCTCAGCTTCTTTTGCCCATAAGAATATGCTTATGAGACTAGTTATGAATCACAATGAAAGCAGTGTTATTTCATGCCAATTAATTTTTTTTTACTCCATATATTATGCAACCTAAAACCTGATAGAAATTATTCCATGCTATATTCATCGTGTGTTGTAGGAGGTTTATGATCTATTTCTGTGGAATGGCACTATGGAGAAGTCCCAGGGGACCATAAGAACTCAGGGTAAAAGAGAGGAGCATAAACAGGAGGATAGAACTGTTTTATCAAGGTTGTAGTGGGCAATGAGGAGGCTGGGAAAGCCTCCCTTCATGATAAAAATAGGTAAGCGTTCACTTGGTGGGACTAACTTCCAAGAAGAAAAGTGACTGTGGTGAGTCTATTAAGTTTTTAAAGATCATGAAAGGATCTGCCTATCACCACTGATATTCTGGCAAAGACTAAGAATGATTACTACTTTAGAGGTATTGTATAACTTCTTCGATTGCTGCTCTAATTCCTGTTTCTCTGCTAACAGAAATTATTTTCCAGCTAATATATATCAGCATTTCTTTTTTTACCTGATACATATAGTTGTTATGATATAGTCGATAGTATAGCAGCACAGAATATTAAGTAAATTTTAAAACTTTGCTTAAATTCACATTTTAGAAAGTATCTAAAAATCTGTTTGATCATAAAAACCAAGCTTTGCAGAAAACATTATATGTCTAGTGCTTTGGGAGTTCAGATCAGGTTCAAGTTGAGACCAGTTGGCCTATGGCCCTGCTCTAATCCAAGTAGACCTTTTTGTTGTTTGTAAGGGAAGTAGTGGATGTAGAACAGCAAAACTATCATTCACTTTATACAGATAATACAAAAATTTAAAATATATACAGTATTATTACTGGAAAAATTGATGTTAGTGTAAGGATATGCTTCTGATATTAAACTAGTTTTTAATAAAAATTATTCCAATTTCAGGTTTCCTTTCCACAATGTGAAATGATAACTCAGAGAAGGATAAATTTGATCAGTTAAATTATTAAATTGAGATCATAAAAGTCAAGTAAAGGTGTAAGATTATCTTAAATAGGTTGTTTTCCTTATTTCAGAGTCTTTGGAACAAATTTTTTCAAGATAAAGAACTGCGATCAATGATTGAACAAGATGTCAAAAGAACGTATGTAGAACTTTCAGTAATTCAAATTAGTGTTACCTCTTTGTAATTTTAGTAAAACACAAAATCCATAGAGGAGTCTTAATTGAATACAGTATTTGCTTTGTATTAATAACAAACTTACTGTGGCCATTTTTGATAGCAACGATTATTTTCTATTCTTAAAATATAGATTCCTGTTTTCCCTTTTCAACATAAATTGTAATACTGATAATCTTAATATTTAATCCATTTTTCAGTTTTCAACAGTGATTGAAAATCGTGTGCTTCTGATTAAGATTATATTATGTGGTCATAATATTGGTATTGCTAAAAAAAATTGTCTCTTGCTTCACACCTTTGAATCTCTTTCTAACCAAATTACTTTTTAAATGACAACTATTATTTTTACCCTCCTTATTTCTGTCTCTCTCAAAGTCATTCAGGTTTGCAAACAACCTCTTCTCTGCATCTACTTAGTATTTACCATGTGAAAAAGTTGTTTACTTAGCTCATGATTAATTAATATCCATGACTTTAATATATTGGGCTCTATCTTTCTGGGTCATGTAGTGAGAAGTACATGGAATTTGTGTGCCAAGGTCCTAGGGTAAGTTCTAGCAACATATGCTATAATCTTAAGCATTTTACTTTTTAATGAACGTCTTTCCTCAGCGTTCTTTTCTGTAAAATGGGGATAATAGTTAACCTCAAAGGATTGCTGTATATTAATAAGTGTACATTTTAATAGTAGTATTTAAATATGTTTGCACTTTTTTTCTGAAGATTTATTTATTCATCCTAGAGAAGGAGAGAGAGTGAGCATACATGAGCAGGGGAGAGGGACAAAGGGAGAGGGAGAGAGAATCTCAAGTGGACTCTATGCTGAGCATGGAGCCCAACATGGAGCTTGATCTCATGACCCTGAGATCACAACCCTACATCATGACCAGAGCCAAAACCAAGAGTCAGACTCTTAACCGACTGTACCACCCAGGCGCCCCTAGATATGTTAACACTTATGTAACTGTAAACAGTTACATAAGTGTTAGTAAATTTAATCATTGGATCTAAGATGGACCATGTATTTGCAGAGTCATGGATATCCCTAGTGCCTTTTTCCAGGTTCTTCTGCAGCTTCGCTTGTCTGCCCCACTGCTAGTTCAACTCCTGCTAGACCTGTCACAAGGTCAAGGCCTCTGGCTGAGATCCATCTCTTTCCAGGTCCCAAACACTGAATAATCCGATGACATAGACTGCTATTAAGGTTATACTACATATTGAACAAATAACATTTTCTATTTTAAAATGAAAATCAGTGGAGGGGTGCCTGGCTGACTCAGTTGGTAGAGCGTGTGACTTTTAATCTTACGATTTTGAGTTCAAGCCCCACATTGGGCCTAGAGCTTACTTTAAAAAAAAAAAAAAAAAGAAAGAAAGAAAGGAAGCAAGCAAGCAGTGGAATCATGGGTTCAGGGTACAACAGAACTGTATGTAACTGGCAATGGTGGCAGGTTTGGGGGGAGGGAGGTATGGGATCATTTTGATGAGCTGAGTTATCTAGGTAACCCAAGAGTAACCAATTATAGGGAAACTACTCTCAGAGGCGTTGGGTGCCAGTGCTTGACTTCTAGTATATTGTTGCAGAAAGTAGAATGCCATTGTATTGGTGCACAGGAGGCGCTCAAATATTTGTTGGAAAAAACAAAAAACAATTTCCTCACCAATCACTTAAGTAACTGTATAGTGGCAGTAAAACAGGCCTCTTAAAAACAAAATGCATGGTATATATTGCTAACCAAATGGTAAAGGTATCCTTTAAAAAAAAAAAATTGGTAGGCAGTTATCTTAGAAAATTTGGCTAATAAGGATTATGATCAATCTTTCTACTGTTATCAAATGAAAATAGGGGCACCATGGCACTGGAGTGGAGTCACATACTCAGAGGCCCTATGGACCAGACTGGTTGAAAGACAAAGCAAACAAGAGAAGGGGAAAATAAAACTCAGACAGCCAAACCTCATAGGAAGTGGCATTGGGAGCCCATTGATTATTTTGGTTACTTAACACAAACATTTATGCTTTGCTGTGTGAGAAAGTGTTATTTCGTGAAAAGTGTATTCTTGTAACTATTTGGTTTTATATTTTCTATGCATTTTTCATATACTTAAAATGTGTGTGTGCATGTGGTGTGTACAACACGTATATGGCTAACTTTTTCTCTTACGGTTGTCTCCACTGGTACGTTTTAATTCAGTTGGCAAACCTGAGATTCAGGGATGGCAGTTAGGAGACCCTAGAGTTCATAGCATAGATGGAGGAGGTTGCATCTTCTTCTCCAGAAGGCTCTTCCATGGCTCTCCTCTACATTTAGAGAAAGTCTTCTTGCCATCTCTATATAAATTTTGTGGCAGGTAACTTAGCTTGTAAGGTAAGACTGTCAATCTTTTAAGCCACCAAATTGCCTAATGATAAAAGCTGAATAGCTTGAATAATTTTACTACTTTAGGTACTACATTCTCTTTATGAGGTACTACATGATCTAAAATCCATGGTTTTCAGTCCAGTCTGTAAGGCATCTCATGATGAAATAGAAGAAAAGAAGAAATACAGCTCAACAAATGTTATACAGTGTTACTCATTTACTAGCATCTGTGATAAGAATTTTGTTTTTTACTGTACGTTTATTGAATGTCTACTGTGTCCCAGCCTTATCCTTTGCATTGTGGGAACAGAGTGGTGAATAAGACAGACAACGGCCTGCTTTCATTGGATACACATTTGAGTGTCGGGGGGTGAGGGGAGTGAGACAGCACGTGTAGATAAAGAAGATGATTGTAAAGGATGGTAATTGCTGGGAAGAGGTAAAGCAGGGTGATAGGGTCGTTAGAGGGATGGCAGTTTTAGGGACAGTGATTAGGAAAGGCATCTCTGAGAAGATGACATTTAAGCTGAGATGTGATAAATTTTAAAAGGCCAGCTGTGTGAAGATCTAGGGAAAGAGCATTCCAGGCAGAGGGAACAGCTAGTGCAAAGTCCCTCAGTGAAAATAAGCTAGGTGTTTTGAGAAACTGAAGAGGGGCAGGTATGGTGGGACGTAAGTGATTTAAGTAAGGAAATTTGGGAGAGAGCAGATGCCACACGAGCAGTCCTGTAGGCGAAAGTAGGGAGTTAGGGTTTTATTCCAGTTGCAATGGGAAGCCATTGGGAGATATTGAGTAGGGCTGTGATATCTAAAAAGATCATGCTGGCTGCTGTGCAGTGGGGTGGGTAGAGGTGAAGATGGAATCTGGGAAAGTAGGAGTCTTATGGTACTATTCCACATTAAGTAATGTTAGTGACTTAGATGAAAGATGTAATAATAAAGATGGTTAGGAGTAGATAGGTTGAGGATGTGCATTTTCTATTTTTAAATATTAAGTATAAGAGGTCATTATATGTAGTTTTCTCACATTCCTCAGTTCTCTTCCACTTTTGCTGCCCTGTTTGTAGGTTCTTTTTTTTTTTTCTTTTGCCTCCTGTCTAGAGTCTCTCGCTTGTTTGTTTTCTTCAGATCTGTTCTCTTTCTCCTCTAGTCGAATCCATGTGTTACAGCCTTATTTTCAGAAAGCACATCTAGTCATGCTACTTGTCTAATCTAAAGCCTTCTCTGATTCTCTGGTCTGCCGAAGAATGGATTTACCCAGACCCCTAACACACACATGGTTCCCTTTTAGAGTTTTCCAGCTCTCTTTCTGTTACTGACATTGAGTTCAACTCCACTGCAGTCTGAGAGCATGATTTCTCATCTGCCAAATTGGTTTGGGTGTGCTTTGGGGTCCAGAACATGGTATATCTTGGTGAAGGTTCCATGTGAGCTTGAGAAGAATATGTATTCTGCTGTTGTTGGTTGAAGAAGTACATAGGTCTCAATATATTCAGTAGATTGATGATGTTGAGTTCACCTGTATCCTTCTGATTTTCTGCCTGCCAGATTGTCCATTTCTGATAGACAGTTATTGAACTTGCCAACCATGATAGTGGATTTTAAAAGTTCTCATTGCAATTTTATTAGTTTTTGCTTCACACAGTTTGATGCTCTGTTGTTAGGTGTGTATATGTTAAGGATTGATACGTCTTCTTGGAGAATTGACCCCTTTATCACTATGTAATGCCCTTTTAAAGAAATCTTTTAATTAGTGTTAGCCTGGTGTATTTTTCTCCATTCATTTACTTCTAATCTAAATATGTCTTTGTATTTAGAGTGGGTTCCTTGTAAGTAACATATAGTTGGGTTGTGTTTTTGATCCACTCTGACAATCTCTTTCTTTTAGTTGGGGCATTTAGGCCATTGATATTTAAAATGATTATTGTTACAGTTGGATTATTGTCTATCATATTTGTTACTCTTTTCTGTTACCTTGTTCTTTTTTTCTCTTATTGTCTTCTACCCTTTTTCAGCCTTTTGTAGTTTTATTTGAGCATTTTATATTATTTCATTTTCTTTCCTTTCTCAGCATACCAGTTATACTACTTTTACTTTTTTTTAGTGGTTGCCTTAAATTTTACAATAGGCATTTTAGGTAATCCATGTCCACTTTCAAATAACACTATACCACTTCACTTACAGTGTGAGTACTGTATAATAACAAAGTCATCCAAACTCCTTCCTCCCATCCTGTGTCATTGCTGTTATTCATTTCACTTATATATGAGCATATATATATCTATGTATGTTTGTACATATACATACATATAAGCACACATAGTTGAGTACATTGTTGGTATTATTTCAAACAACTGGTATCTGTTATATCAATTGACAGTAAGAAAAATAAAAGTTTTTATTTTGTTGCACTTATTCCTTCTTATGTTTTTCCTTTATGTAGATCACAGTTTCTAACCTATATTATTTTCTTGTAAATCACTTCTTGTGAAGCAGGTCTACTGACAAAAAATTCCCTCAATTTTTGTTTGCCTGAGAAAGTCTGTTTGTCCTTTACTTTTAGAGGATAATTTCACAGGATATAGAATTCTAGGTTGGT